TGCTGCCTGCGGGCGGGGAAGCGGTCCCCAGCGGGGCCGCGGGTGCAGGCAGCTGGCGCACGCCCTTGTGTGCAGCCTCCTGAGAGGGGATCTTTACTCTGAGAAGGAAGCGAGGTCAGGGTTGGATGGAAAAGCTTGTCGAAAGTTTTCTCTGGGAAGTAAAACCGTTCTTACGCTCATCTTTACAAACCAGACTTCTCTGACCAGAACCACTTCTCCCCCAGGTACTATATGCAAGGAGTGTGTCGGGAGGGAAACAAGTGTCTGTTCTCGCACGATTTATCTACGAGCAAATCCTCTACCATCTGCAAGTATTACCAGAAGGGACAGTGTGCCTATGGAGCTCGGTGCAGGTAAAGACCTTAGTCTTTTTGGAATAGTGAGTTCAGAAGAACTGGGCATGATAATCGCATGCAGTCAGCCTTAAGGTTTAAACCCCAGGGAATCAAAGACTGAAAATAAGATGACGAAGGGAAGGAAATAATATATTAAATATGAGCTTTTTCTCCCAGTACCAAACCCGGCTTACAGATCCAATATTATAGTTTTCCTCTGTCTCAGCTTCAGCAATTATTTTACTCTGTAGAAATTAAACTTCAGGTTTCACATATGTTTTTCATCCGGTTCTTACTATTTAAGTAAGACGGATTAAATGCAAAAAACAGACCCCGCAACTTCACATGAAATAGCATTTGGTGGCATGGTTTGCTTTCCACATGACTGAAGTGGCTGGAAGTGGGCACTGTTTTGGCAGTGCTTTGCTCAGTTCTGATGTAGCTCGTAGCCTCCTTCATGCAGATTGGAATGCACAATTTCAAGGACTTTTAGTTCTGTCTTAGAGCAAAGTGTCTTGAACTCCCCAAGGTTTGGTGGGAAAGCTGAACAGTATCACACCTTGTCCTGAAGTCTTCTGGTTAAAACTTCTTGAGAAGTGCTCTAGTAAATACTATGCATTAGTTAATGTTGTTACAATCCATCAGGGCAGCCCATGGCTCCTTTGTGGAAAAATTCTGGTCACAGGCGAGAAGCCTGTGTTTGTACCTTCACCTGACAACAGGGGATCTCATGGCCTTGCTGTGATTGCAACGGCTTAGCTATATTTCCTTTCCTTTGCTTAGTTCATGGTACCAAACTTGGATCAGGAGATTGAACATTAGTGATTTCTGTAGCTTCCATTAGCTGCTCACATTGAAGTAGTAACGTGTAATGTTGCTGACGGCCGTGTTATTCACGGGGACCACGTCAAACGGTGATGGGACCGTAATGATGGCTGCAAAGTGCGTTGCAGTTATACTCCAGCTGTTTTGCTGGAGCTTGGAGTACTCAATGCACATAAGCGATTCATGCGTGTGGCAAGTACGGGACCAGAACCAGATATGGAGGATATTTTTGTTCCTATCAAAAATATTCTAGTGTTCGGGTGTGTCCATGGCTTTACTGGGCCAGCCTCTTTACTGTGCTGATTGCTTCTGCTCTGCTTTCGGAGGCATCCATTTTCTGAGGCTGAGCAACCCTTTAGTCTGGCTTTGAAAGAGACTGAGCAGTTCAGTCAACTTGTCAGAACAATCCTTTAAAAAAAAAAAAAAAGTAGCTATTCAGTTTTATTTTGTTTAAATATTCATCAGGGGAGCTGTCCTGCCACTGTGCCAAGTTTAGCCTTGTAACACTTGTTTTGTCTTTTTCCTTTCACAGGTATGATCACACCAGACTTCCTGCGTCAGGGGGTGCAGCGGCCCCTGCGCCACCTCCCCTGTCATCGGCAGCGCTGCACAACCCTCGCCATCCTGCTGAGCACAGCGCGCCGATAATCAGGAGCAAACTGCATGAGACTGGCAAACGGGAGAAGAAAACGCTAGTGCTCAGGGACAGAAGTGAGTGGGAGTGGTGCTGTGCTCGTCCTCCTTGATCCTTGATAGGAATTAGTAGTTTTTCTCCTTTTATTATGTGAGTTTTGTGGACAGCTGGAGAGGTGCAGTTGGACTTCCTACCCGATGAGGCCTCTTTCCTGGAAACGCTTGTGCCTCTCAGTACGTTTTAATGACCATGTCTAGCTGACTGGCTTTTAGCCTGGTGTTCCCTGAAGGATGGTTTTTGTTTTGGGAGATTTTTTGGGGCGTTCTTTTGTTTTGACTTGGTTTTTTTGGTTAAAATATCTCTGCCCCTCAGATCTTTTTGTGCATTTTGTTCTCAACATGAGGGCATTTGAAATGGTGAGAAACCTGGCTGCTTTGTGCCAGGGTAACTGGCACATGCGCTCTGGAGGATTGTGCTAGCCCTTAGGAACACAAGCACGGAGACATCCGTCCATGCTTGACAGGCGGGGCTGAGCCCCCCTGCACGCTCGTCCGGCCTGTTCTCACTGTCGCACCAAATGGGCCAGTTGCCCTAATGTGACATGAAAGGATTTTTTAGCCTATTTGTAGACAGAAAACAGCTGAAGAAATCTTGAAATCAAACTTTTTAATAGGTAGTTTGTGAAAATTCTTGTGATTTGTGAGCAAAAGGGGCTTAGAGATGAGATTTCATTGAGAAGAAAACATTTTTCAAAAAAACCCCAGGTAATCATTGGAAAGTATATGGAGCTTCTTGTGTAGGTTTTGTGCAGTGTTGTATGGTTCATGTTACATTTATGTTTCTTAAGATCTGTGTGGATTGAATGAAGAAAAGCAGAAGCCCAGTGCCACAAGCGATGCGGTGTGTTGCAGTGACCAAAATGATAATCTGGAAATGAAGCCCCATTCATATTTGGAAGCTATTTGCAGCGGACTGGAAGATCCAGTAGCTGGAAGCTCCTGTGCTGATGGAGAGCAGCTGTGTCCTTACGCTGCAGCAGGAGCATGCCACTTCGGAGATCGCTGCCTTTATCTCCATGGAGACGTGTGCGAGATATGTGGATTGCAAGTACTTCACCCTTTTGACCAAGAACAGAGGAAGGCTCATGAGATGGTAATACTAACGTGAAATCAGCGTGCGATTTGCTTTGCTCAGTGCAAGGTTTGGTTTGCTTGCTCTAAAATCCAAAGATGTGTTTTGTGGAAGAGCCTGTTGTTCCAAAGAGCTTTTGTTTTATTGTAGCTATCAAATGATTCTAAGAGTGGTCTGTTCAGGCATCTAGGACTTCATTGGTAACGGTGACGCAGATAGCCTTTTACAGCAACTTCTTTTTTTCCCATTTCATCCTTATGGGAAACTTGCCTGCAGCCTTCTCCCAGAACACCCTAAAATTCTGGCAGGAGAATATCTTTTGTAGCTTGCATGACATCTCAATGGTACGTTATGTACAGTGGGGGAGAGGAACTGTGGCTGCTGGTGTGTTGTGAGGGATCGCCCTGCCGGTCTGCTGAGTCACCTCTTCAGGTGTCTCTTCTTGGTTGTGGCTGATTTCAGGGCAGGGTCAAGTAGGGACAGACTGAGTGGAGTACAAAGATTTTGGAGCTGAACTTGAAGTAGGATGGCTGGGGGGACTGGATGAGGAATTGGATGGGTAAAGATGGACTTAAGGGGCTGCTCTTTTCTCAGCTTGGCTACCAGATTTAGGTCAGGGCTGCTCAGGAACAGGAGTTCTCAAGGCTGAGGAGGAGAAAGACCAGCAGTGGTTACTGAATCACAAGTGTCTCCAGAATCTGGAGTAGAATCCAAGGGGTTAAAAATCTCAGGTTTTGCGCAGTCAGCATATACTTGCAAAACGTGCTGGTGTAGGAGTTCTCACTTCTCCCAGGAGCTCGTTGATGTCTGGCAGGGTATCCTGTCACCACTGCTGTCAGGTGCTCAGCTCTGGAACCAGAGGTGTGTGTTGGATGAGAATGTGCAGTAGTCAGAATGCTGCTATTAGCGTGGAATTATTTTGTGTCCTTTTTTTTATTATTATGATTTAAAGTCTTTTAAATTTATTTTACTTGTCAAGTCCTGAGAACTTTGAAAAGAGGTAAAACTATGCAGGTATAACCACCAGCTCACTGAGTGGTGCTGTGAAAGTGTAAATTGGTTGTTGATTGTCGCTACAGGGGTACTGTGCTGAGGCATGAGGAAAGCCTAACTGAGAGACTAATTCCTTAGCTGGGGTAAAGCTTAATATCCAGTGAATGAGCATGGCCTTAATGCTAAGCAGTGTAACATCTTGTGTGTGGCACCCATTCTGGACCCTGAGTTAGATGGGTTTAGGGGTATTTGAAGTATTTCCTTGTGCAATACCTATTCCATGACAGAGATTTAGAAAGGTGTAAATGAAGAGTGTTTGGGCAGTTTTATTTCTGATACTCCTGAAGCTACAGACAACAAGGGCTGAAATATGTGATTGAATTTAATGTTCTTAGATTATGACAATGAAGGGTAGGAATGATGCTCCTAATCAGCGTACCTTATTTTTCCTGATATAGATCCCTGTCATAGATGCTTTTGTTTTACAAGGAACAGGCTGATATATGGACTGCAATAACCAATGATGTCTTTCCTGTGACAGATGTGCATGGCAACATTTGAGCATGACATGGAGAAGGCCTTTGCCTTCCAGGCAAGCCAGGACAAAGTGTGCAGTATCTGCATGGAAGTGGTGTACGAGAAACCATCAGCCTCCGAGAGGAGGTTTGGGATCCTTTCCAACTGCAATCACACGTACTGCTTGTCTTGCATCCGGCAGTGGAGATGTGCCAAGCAGTTCGAGAATCCAATCATAAAGTAAGCTGATGTTAACCAGAGTCTCTTCTCTGTGGCTCTGTCAGTGAGATGGGCTCTCTGGTGTGCTTTGACTTGATACAGAAATAAAACCGGTGATCAGGGATTCTGTAGCTGTAAATATTAAGATAGCCATTAATAAGATCTGAGCTCAGAAAATCCTGGTCCAAGTGCTGCCAAGTTTGAGGACGTTGGAGTACGGCTATGAGAAGAACTACCTTCAAGACGAGTAGGACGCATCGGGTATCCTTTGGTCACAGTTTACTTACATGCTGTGGTCCTGTGTGGGAAGAGCTTGGCCCTTTGTAACTTAGCCCTCTCTCATTGTGTTGATAGTGGGGCAGAGTACACGCCTGTGGACCCTGGAACAGCCAAGGCCTTATTAATCTGTGCCCTTCACAGTACCCTATGGGGAAAAAAGTAACTCCTTTTTTTTCTAGGTATATGCTTAATTACTGGATTTTTCTCTAAGTGATAGCTTACTCAAGCTAAATGTCCCATTAATCACACATTTATCTTTATCTAAGTAAGTGCCTTCATCTTCTAGCTCTATAAAAAATGCATTCCAAACATGCTTCTCCTTAGATGAGAGAATTTAAAACATCCAATTAGGGCACTTTCCTTTTTTGAGCATCTCTTTGAAAACTCTCTGACGTTACAAGCATACTGAGGAAAAAGTGGGAAGTATTTTCAGTCATGTGCCAAAATAGACTTTTCTGCACAACTTTCATTATAAATTTCATTGAAGTGAACGTTAGCTCATTAGAATGTAACCTGTATTGGAGTCGAGCTTCTGGTGGACAGGTACCAAAATATTCTGCCAGCAGGAGGGACTGAGAGTTGCTTTTCCTTCAGAAACAGCACCCTGGAAACTGGTTTGAGTATGGATTAAATACTAACACAAAAATCTTCAAACATGTTTTTTACCTTTCTCCATAATGTTGAAACAAAAACCGGTATGGTTGTTGCAAAGTTAATCTAAAGGAGGGACTTGGCTTTGTTCTAAAAGCACTGCCTGATGGGAGACATGGTGTTTTATGGGACTTATGGGGAGGGGGTAATAAAGCCTTTCCTAGGCTTGTTGAGGTACCTGAAGTTGGATATTTGATTCTTGATTTTAGTTCCTCATGTAGAAATCCATCTTGTAAAACCACTAAGCGAACAACTCACCACTGCTAGTAGAAGTCAGATCACGTTTCAAAAGGCTGAGAGACCTTCCTTTTTCTTTTTTCAGGTTTGGCTTTCGGCTGCATGGGAGCTGCGGTACTCGCGTAATAGTTACAGTTTATTTCTGCATATTGGGATTAGCAGATGCAGTTTATTTCTGCATATTGAGGAAATACCTGTTACTTTTATTCGAGTCTAGAAACAAACGCAAGGTAGCGCAAGCCCTGACTGCACTGAATTGGATTATTTCAGTTGAAACTGATAACAATTGTGCACGTGTGCTGTACTTACGTGTGAGGGAGGAGGCGTCTGCCACTTCGGTGTGACAAACCGTCTCCCTTTCACTTGGGAGACTGCTGTTCCTGGCTAATTTATTGAGGAGTATCACTCTCAGAAAGTAACAGAGCATTGCTGTTTTGTCTCGATCCATTAAGGTCTTGCCCGGAGTGCCGCGTGATATCCGAATTTGTCATTCCCAGTGCGTACTGGGTAGAAGACCAGGAGAAGAAAAATGAGCTGATTGAAGCATTTAAGCAGGGAGTGGGGTAAGTTCAGTAGCCACAAACACTGTTTACGTTGTCCTTAAGATAGATACACAAAGACTTAATCAAAGTGCCTGTATTTTTAAACTTTATGTAATTACAAACCATTCTACAGAGAACTCTTAATCTCTGGTAACACTTTAACTTTGTGACTGCTACAAAAGGGTCTGTTGCATAATTACAGATCAGAAATTATTCAAACTCACTGTGCTCTGAAATGTTGAAGCTATTTCAGTTCACTTGCCAACATTGGCCTCATGCATTTTCTGTTGATCCCTTAGACGTAATTGCCTGGAAGGTTGTCAGTTACTGAGGAAAACAAATAGGGAAGGTAAATGTAATAGTCTCTTGAGGTATGGGATAAAAATTCACAGGGCTTTTGCAATGTCTACTGGAAATGGAAAATACTATGTGACTGCATTCCTTTTATTGTCTAATAACGATTTGCCCGGTGCTTGGAGCACTGGGAGAGGTCTGCTGACGGGTAGTTTTAGAGCAGCTTTGCAAAGCTGTGGTTGCCTGGAACGTGTATTGGGTTATGTAGTTTGCAGAACAGTAAGGTATCATTACTCACCTCCTTGCTTACTCTTTTTAAGGGCAAACAAGCAGATCTGTGCTTGACCCGAGTGAGCGATGACTATTTTGCTGAAGGTTGTGCAGCTTTATTCTGTGATGTGCACCAACCTTTAAATGTGTCCTTTGGAGAACAGAAAAAAATAGGCCTAACTTAAATTTGTGTGTAGCTGTTGCTAGTAGCTTTTCAGCTGCTTGGGAAGCTTTAAGTCGCTGGAGTCCTGTTATAACACAGCAGCAGAATTGTTGAAAGCAGTACTGCTCCATTAAATGAATCCAGCATGTTGTCTTGTTTCATTTTATAGTCAAGCAAAATATTTGAATAAAATCAATCACTTTAAACTGAGGTTCTTCAGATAGGGTTTGTTTTCAGTACCCTATTGCTGTCAAGATTTTTCATTTTAATTCATAAGGACACTGAATTGAGGGTAGTGAGTTGCGCTCAAAAGCCTCAGCTTAGTGCAGTTTTTAAATGGCCGTGTTCTCAGTAAGGTGAGGTTTTGTGTTACTGGAATAGAGGTGTCGGGTGGTGTTGGAAGTTGGGTTTTGGCTCTTGTCAACCTGTTGTATAGAAGGGGATACAAAAAGGGGTTTTGCTGAAGTGCTCAGCTAAGACTAACAGATCGTGTTGCAGGCAGACAGAATTTCTTTACCAAAGAGTGTTTTATGGATAGAACTCTTGGCAGTCAGTTTAACTTGAGAATTTAGTATTTCATGGAATGGAAAAAATGCTAATAAAGCAGAGTCTAAGCTAAGAGCAGGGGTCATGCCAGCACAGGGGTCATGCCAGCACAAATCCATTCCGATTTATATGCCAGCACAGGAGGGAAAAAGTCAGACCTACAAACCTAGAAGTCACAGACCACTTAAGTTCTAAACCAAGCCAAATTCATTCCGCTTTTAATGCGCTGCCT